ATGCGCTAGGACCCAAGCTCTGATTGGGGAATCTAGCTTCTCCCTGTCGCACCCCGAGGCCAGATTTTAGGGCGGGCCGGGCGTTTCGTCTGAGACTTCCTTGCCACTTATAACCCTGAAATTAAAAGTTGACAGCAACTTCACAGATGGAGGGCGGGTGGTTTTCAACATGTGGCTCTCGTCTCAGCGCCGCGCACATTCGTTTGACAATTTTGCCAGAATTGCACGGATTGAGGGCAACTGGCTTGTGTGGCTCTCGCCTCAGCGCCGCGCACACTCGTTTTAAAAAGATTGCAAGAGCTTCACGGACTGAGGGCGGGTGATGTGGCTCTCGCCTTAGCGCCGCGAACACTCGTTTTACAAATGTGCTAGATTTTCACGGATTGAGGGCGGTTCCTTTTTCAAAATGTGGCTCTCAGCCGCGCACATTGGTTTATAAGTTTACAACGAGTTCCACGGACTCCCGTCATCAACGTACCAGACATGGTGTTTTGGAAAGATTCAGGATTATGCGGGTGCAGCAGTTACATTGGTTCGCGGTGGGTGTTCGAGTCCCAGGAACGGCGCCCCACCACGAGTCAGGGTCGTCAAGACGTAGCAGTGAAGTGGATCCGCGGCGTTGGAATCCAGAGAACACTTTTTGGCATGCTTCAGAACCTTCAAGCGGCTGTCTTCCGACGAGGCAACTCCCTGTGGAGATGAGCGCGTCGTAGGAGCCTATGCAGACGGAACTTGGAGGGAGGGTTGATTCCAATATCGTTGATGGCTCTTGGGGTTCACACTGGTCCTCCTCCTCCTCCTCCTCCTCCTCCTCCTCCTCCTCCTCCCCCTCCTCCTTCTCCTGGGATCCTCCTCCTCTTCCTCCTCCCCCTCCTCCTCCTCCTCCCCCTCCTCCTCCTTCTCCTCCTCCTCCTCTTCCGCCTCCGCCTCCGCCTCCGACTCCTCCTCATCTTCCCCCTCCTCCTCTCCTCCTCCTCCTCCTCCTCCTCCTCCTCCTCCTCCTCCTCCTCCTCCTCCTCCTCCTCCTAAAGGGACGCGGCGGAGGTGGTCGGTGGCTATCTTGGGCGTGAAGCGGAGGGGCCCCGAGGGGAACGGGCCCTGGGCCCAGCTCTCCATCCCGAGCCTTCGTTCGGACACCGGGGCACGGGGGAGGGCGCGCGCGTCGCGCCGGACCCGGAACTCCCCAAGATACCACCCCATCGCGCGACGCGCCGTCGGAGGAGGGGAGCTGCGTGCCCCGGAGGCGGAGGCGGCGGACGAGCACGGGGGCGAGCAGGCCCAGGAGGAGGAGGAAGGCCAGGCGGGAGGAAGGGCGAGGGGCTCCAGCAGCAGGAACGGGAGGAGCAGGAGGGCCGGCGGGGGGGGGGGGGGAGAGGAGCGGGGCGGCAGCGGCGAGGGAGCACGCGGATCCAGAAGGGCGGCCAGCGCTGGGGCGAGGGCGGCATCCAGGACCGGCGCGGGGGGCAGAGTGCCGACCCGAGCACGGGGCTCTGCGCGGCAGCGTTTCGGCACGAGTCGAGGGGCCGAGCACGGCGGGAGCGCAAGAAGGGAGCACGAAACAATACAACGAGAACGTACGGCACAGCGAGGAGGGAGGAGGAGGAGGAGGAGGAGGAGGAGGAGGAGGAGGAGGAGGAGGAGGAGGAGGAGGAGGAGGAGAGGAGGAGAAGGAGGAGGGGAGGAGGGAGGAGAGAGGGAGGAGGAGGGAGGAAAGGAGAGGAGGATGGAGGAGGAGGAGGAGGAGGAGGCGTAGGCTTGCTGCTCCCTGCACCAGGCGCAGTTTCCAGTCTCCAATGTTACATGCTGCTCTCTGTTTCTTACTGTAATTTTTTACCTTCGCGCGAGAAGAGGGGGGGGGGGGGGGGGCAAAAACTGCCCGATTAGCGTACCCTAAGCACATCCTCAAAATTTCTGGCGGCACTGGGACACGAAGGAATACCTGATCTGCGCTCCCGACACAAAAATCCTTCTTGCAAATTATACTGTATTCGCGCCCCTGAAGCCAAGAGCCGTCGTAAATTACGCTGTCTGTATTCGCGTCCCCGCCACGATCCCTCGTAAATTACACCACGGTCGCGCCACCGAGGCTACCATCCATCGTAAATTACACGACGTTCGCCCCCCCGAGGCCACGATCTCTTACAAATTGCACCACTTTCGCGCCCCCAAAGCCACGATACCGTGTAAATTACGCCACATTCGCGCCCCCGAAACAACGATCCCTTGTAAATCGCACCACATTCGCGCCCCCGAGGCCACGATCTCTTACAACAGGCCCCGAGAGGCGCCCAAGTCACGTCGGTCACTCTTGGAGCGCTCTTGTGCTGTCTTGGGGGTCTCTAGGGCGTCTCCGATGACACCCCTGATCGCCTTAGGTGTGCTGGGAAGGCTTGGCAAAACGCCCTGCGAGGCCCGGGGGGCCGCTTCGAGGCCCGTCCGGAGGGTCCCAAAGCCCCAAATCCCGGGAGTCCGGTTTCGGGGGGGGGGGGGTGACGGGTTTGCCCCCTGCCCGGGCTTATAAAAAATATTGGAAGAGGAATATATACACAAAGCTGCAGTGGCGCTTCGCGCCATGTACCTTGGTCCCTGAAGTTTGGCACGCAGGCAGAATAGCAGGAAGGTCAAGCCGACCATTTAGCAATAACTCCTTGTTGCCTTTTTCGGCGACGGCGCTACAATAATGTTATTCGATATCCTTCCGCCATGCTTCTCTTTCCTCATTTTCACCATACCCTGCACATTCTCCCCATCCTCCTCAACTCTTTTTTGCGGAGGCTCCTCCTTGGAGAGCCTCTGGGGGCCTCACAAAAGTTGTTTCCGGTTTTCTTAAGGCCTTCTGGAGGCCTCCTGGGCGTATTCTGGGGGCCTCTGGGGGCTTCCTCGGGCCACCCTGCCTCCAACCGCGGTTTCCCTGAACGACCGGGTCACGATTTGGAATGCTTCGGTCGGTGTCTTGGGGCCATCTTGGGCCGCCGTGGGGCTCTCTGCGGGCCATCTTGGACCCGTGTTGTGCCGTTTTGGAGCTCTGTTGGACTGCCTGGAAGCCCTTTCGGATGGTTGTGGGGCGACTTTGGAGCCCCTCAGGCGGCTTCGGACGCCCAGAAGACCGTCGTCTTGGAGCATCGGGAAACCGAAAAGAAGAGAACACCAAAATTCACCAAAAAACAACAGAAAATCAATGATTTGTGCTTGGGGCCTTCTTGGGAGTGCTCTTGGAGGCCTCTTTGGGGCCGTCCTGGAGGCCTTTTGGGCCATCTTGAGGTCACGTCGGTCACTTTTGGAGCGCTCTTGTGCTGTCTTGGGGGTCTCTGGGACACCTCCGATGACCCCCTCTGATCGCCCTAGGTGTGCTTGGAAATCTTGGCAAAACGCCCTGCGAGGCCCGGGGAGGCGTTTCCAGGCCCGTCCGGAGGGTCCCAAAGCCCCAGACCCCAGGAGTCGGGCTTTCGGGGGGGGGAGGGGCTTTCCCCCCGCCCAGGCTTCAAACAAATAGGAAGAGGGACCGATATATATATATATATATATATATATATGCACACGTATAGACACATACAAATAGTCATGCATACATACATACATACATACATACATGCATGCATGCATGTATACAGGCAGACATACAGACATACATGCATACATGCATTATACATACATGCATGCATACATGCATACATACATACATGCATACATGCATGCAAAACATACAGACACACAGACAGACAGACAGACAGACAGACAGACAGACAGACAGACACACAGAAAAACATACAAATAAACATACACACATCCATACACATGTACAACCTCATACAAATAAACATGTAAATGTGCACGTATCTAGACATATGCATATACCTGTACATAAACATAGACATACACATGTACACATGCATGTACATATATATACATACATATATGTACACATATGCACATACATGTACATATACACTTACATGCGCATGCACATAAACACATACATAAATATGTACATATACACATACATACGTGTATATATATATAATCCCAAAGAACGGGGCCCCACCCATGGGAACCTTAAGAGGACCTAAGAGAGCCTTAGCCTACAGCCCTAGACGCCACACCCTAGAGGCTCTGGGCACTTGGGCCCTAGAGGCCGGGACGTGCCAGCGCGTGGCGCTACTGAATAACGAAACTCACCCAACGTTTTCCTGCACGGACCTCGAGAGATAACTTGTTATCATTCACTGCTGAAAATATTCACATCTGTGTGCGGTCAGCGCACACCTCCCCGGCAGACTGCAATGAACGCGCAATCTGATTGATGATAGCCTGCGTCGAAAGAAATGAACTCGCTCGGCCTTGAACTTCGCTAGGTCCGAGCGAGGGCGAGGGATGCCTGAAGGGAATCGGTAGGAACCCCGCTGCGTGGCGCTGACCACGGCTCGGGGGGGGCGGCAGAACGAACGCGGCAGCAAGTGAGACCTGTACCGAGGACGGAGGGCTGGGAGGGCGCCTTGAACTTGAAACGGTTTCGGGCGCAGGCAAGACCTGGAGACAACGTCCGAAACTACAAGACATTTCCCACCCCTTGGCCCCTTCGCTAACCTATCTGAAAATCAACGTTCACAAACTCACTCACCCATTTCAGGTGCGATCCCAAAGAACGGGGCCCCACCCATGGGAACCTTAAGAGGACCTAAGAGAGCCTTAGCCTACAGCCCTAGATGCCACACCCTAGAGGCTCTGGGCACTTGGGCCCTAGAGGCCGGGACATGAAAGCGCGTGGCGCTACTGAATAACGAAATTCACTCAACGTTGTCCCGCGCGGACCTCGAGAGATAACTTGTTATCATTCACTGCTGAAAAGTATTCACATCTGTGTGCGGTCAGCGCACACCTCCCCGGCAGACTGCAATGAACGCGAAATCTGATTGATGACAGCCTGCGTCGAAAGGAATGAACTCGCTCGGCCTTGAACATCGCTAGGTCTTCGCTCCTCCAAACCCGAAATCGCTTGCGGCCTATGCTGAGGGCTCGGCAGGCTCGCTGTGGCTGTCGCCCTCGCCCGCCCCTGTGTCCGGGGAGCCCTCGTCGGCGGCGGCCCCGTCGGCGGGGAAAGGCTCGTCCTCGGCGCCAGGCGCCGATGACGAGCGAAAGGCCCCGTTCCCGTCTCGCGGCCAAGCCCAGGCGGCTAGGCGCTTGCTCCACCTCCAGATCCTCATCGGCACTGAGGGTGGCGTGATGGCTGGAGCGTGCAGGAGCGCCGACTTGGACAGAGTGAGGTCTGGCTTGTCGATAGTCGCCTGGGTGGCTTCTTGCAGCAGCTCTGAGATTCGAATCGTCTGAGTGGTAGCGTCCTCGGTCAGCGACCATAGGGGATTGGCCCAGCGTGCGTTGTAGGTAACTGCTGCAGTCCTCCGGGCCAAGCCCACATGGCCCGTATCGAACCAGGCCATCCAGAGGTCCAGGGAGATGTAGGATGAGTCGCTGATGAAGAGATGCTTATGACCTCCACCAGCGGACGAGAAGGTGATGCAAAAATCAAAATACCCGCCAACGCCTGGAGCCAGTGGTCGGGCAGTCCCATCACCGCTCGAGCCTCTGGCGTAGTCAGTACGTCCTCGGCGTACTCGTTTCCATCGAAAAAGATGCGGCCGGCGGAGCTGTTGACCGTAACATTCGTGAGGTCGATGCCTTCCCATGCTGTCTCGGCGAGGCTGAGGGCATTGTCGGTGAGGGCGCTGAAGATCCGTGCCGCACTCGACACGTTCGCGCCTGCTCCCATCATGCGGCCGGCAGCCCCTCCGACCTCCTCGGCCACGTCCGAGGCGATGCTCATGGAACGTGCGAACAAGGGGCTCCACGCTGTAGTCAGTAGCACCGCCATGATGAGCACAGCACAGCTGCAGCTGCCACTGCAGCTGGAGGACATCTTAAACAACTTCCACAGGTACCACACTGAGGAAACTCGTCGGCGGGTCGGCTGTGGCCTGGGGGTCGCCCAGGAGGTCGGCACTCCAGGCGCCGCCTCGGTCATCGGCGGCGTCGCCATGCCCGTCGGCGGTGGCGTCGGCGTCAGCCCAACAGGTGAAACCAAACCGGTCGGAGTAGGTGGGTAAATCGGTAGTACCCAGGACGAGTGCCCGGAAGAGAATGGTGATGGCGGAGGCGTACTCGATCTGGCTGTCGGTAGCGTCTCTGGTGTAGCCCACGACCCGTCATCCAAGCGCTTGGAGCCCTTCGGCGCCACGCAACGCCCGTAGCGCACACCAGGCCCAGCGTTGGCCGGCCCAATCGAAGGCTGGACCCCACCCAGCCGACTTGAGCCCCACGGCTATGTGGGCGGCCTGGACCATGTCGATGTATACTCGAAGGGAACTGTCCACCTTCCAACGGCCCGTTTCTCGAATCTGCTCGAAGGACATACCCCACGCTGTGGCCTCTGAAGCGAAACCTGCTCGGGTCCATCCCATTGGTAGGTTACATTCCGACTGGATGCGAGCGAGCAACTCGCGGTACTTCTCGAGGGCGTAGGGGAACATGCGGCCCCCAGGGGGCGCGTGGGCCTTCAGGGTCCTCAGGAGATCCACCAATACAGGGCTGGAGGCCTCCAGGATGGCGTTCGACTGGGGGCGCTTCGGTTTGGTGTTCGCCTTGATACCCAAGCCTGCTACCAGGGGCCCTCGACCTCGACCGTGCCCAGACTCCTCGGGGAAGACGAGATCGGACGTGACGATCCCGAGCATCTCGCTGGGCCGCATCCCCACTTTTCCCTGCAACATGAGGCCGATGGCCAGGCGAGGCTCTCCGAGTGCGCTGAGACGCACGCTGACGAAAGCCTGGGCGGTGCTCACCATCGGCACTGTGTGCTTGGTCTGGTGCTCTAACTCCCAGCCACGCAAGGCGGCGTGGCATCTGCAAAGGCCGCCCTTCAGCCGCGGAAACTTGAATTCGATAGCGGCGAGCAGGGAGGTGAAATGACTCTTGAGCAAGTCCACTGAGGCCTTGTACTCCATGATCGTGTCGCCCCACTCGTCAGGGCTCCAGGGGTGGGCCCCCTCGGCCACGCACCACTGGTAGAACTCCGCTGCTCGCTTGCGATAGGTTAGCAATGTCTCAGGCTGCACACGGCCCTCCAGGTGCTTGTCGTCTGGCACCCTCGGGCTCGAAAACGTCAGTTCTGGGTGATGCGCACGCTGCGCACGTCCACTCTCGGCACCAGGGCGTTGCGCCCCTCTAAATCCTGACCACATCCTCTCATGCGTGAGAGGCCGTCCGCGGGCATCCTCTCGGTCTCCACCCAGGAGAGGTGCATCCTGATCTCCGTGGCGCTCGACAACGCGCACCTCCGCCTGAGGAAGTAGTTCGCGGGGCCGGCGGCCGATCGGGCTTTGGCCGCGGCGCCCGCAAAAGCCACGTTGTCCTCGAGGCTGAGGACCTTCGAGCGGTGAGCCTCTGGCAAGAGCGCCAGACGCGCCAGGACCTTCAGCGCGGCCCGCCCTTCTCCCAGCACGATGTGGTCAGGCACCTTCCAGCGGCCCGACTCGACCGGGATCCAGGAGGCCCCCCCGTCGATCCAACCCCTCTCGACTGAGCTCACTGGCAAGAACGGCTGTAGCGTCTCAGGACCTCGCTCCAGCACCTTCTGTAGCTGCCCAGGCTTGGCGACGGCCACGCCAGGGCAAGCACCAGCGCTCCACAGCTCCTCCACGGTCTTCGAGTTCGCCGCGGCCACGACGATGCCGTAGCCGCCCGCGTCGAAGTCCTGCGCACCCTCGGCGTCCGAGGCGAGGGCCATCGGCAGCAGCGGGGCCCCCAGGTCAGCGTAGAGCCCCATGATACCCCGCCGCCTGGCTACAGCCTCACGGCGGGCCGACGGCCACCACCGTCTCCAGCGCGGGCCCCCCTGGCGTGCGAACTGGAACAGGTGCCGAGGCGCCGACAGCCAGCGCCTGGCCAGCAGCGCCGCCCAGATCCAGACCCCGATGACCGACGCCAGGTGGTCCAGGTGTACCCAGCCCCGGCTCGTGAGCAGCAGCAGCGCCTCGTACATGAGTGCCGCCTTGCGATTCGGGGCCCGCACTCGTGCGGGGCTAGCCTCCACCTCGTAGCCCACGATGCGATCCACCATGCCGTGGTCCCTCCGATCCTTCACAACGAAGCACACGTCCTCCAGCGCGTCCGCCACCTGGTGGACCAGCTTGTTGACCTTCTTCTCGCCTGACTGCTGGGACCCGCCGTCCGCCGCGAACAGGCCGTCGTCGATATGGAGGTAGAAGCTCGTGCCCCTCGCGCCCAGCACTGCCCCGCGGCCTCGCGAGGACGTCTCACTCAAGAAATGGAAGGCGCCGAGGTCCAAGGGCCCCGAGTAGCACGTGATTCTCTGACACTTCACTCCATCTCGTACGTGTCCAGTTGGCCCGCCGCAGGTCTGCGCCATCTCCGACAGCGTGGCCACGATGCCCTCTGCTATCCACCTGCACAGCCGAGGTGGGTAGGCGGCCAGCTTGGTCGTCCGAAAGTTCCCGTTAACCTTACCGTAGCTCAGCTCGTGTGTGTGGGCGCCGTCGCATCGTAGTGCTTCGGTGGCCGCCAGTCGCACCGCGCCTGTGACCCTCGTGGGCTTCTGCGAGGGCCCGCCCATCATGCATTGGTCAAAAGAGATGTGCCGCGCTCCCGTCCTGGACTCCAGGCCCTTCAAGATCTCGGTGTCGAAGATGGACGGATGCGGGTCCTCCCCAGGGTCGTCTGGACGCTCGAGGGCCCAAGCTCCCCCGCGGTCTCCCACCCCGCCGCACAGCGCCAGGTGATTGACCATCAGGCGGTTGCCCTCGTCCAGACGTTCCACCTCGGAAGGCCGTAGTCTCTCCCGGGGCAGCCCCCATGCGCACTTCCCTCGGCGGCGCAAGGGTCGCGGGCCACCAGGCCTGAACCTCGCACGGCTCCAGGTTGAGCAGGGTGGGCCACCCAGGATCACGCCCGCCAGGCCCTCGGCCACCAGGGACCAGAGCAGCTCCAAGGTGTCGACGCGCCCGAGGTCCCGCCGCGAGTCCTCGGCCAGGTCCACCGAGATCATGAGCACCTTCAGCTCCAGGTCGGCCATCATCGCCGCGACGAAGTGCTGCACGTCCTGCCCCCTCCGGGCCCCCGCGAACACATGCATGACCACGAAGACGCGGGTCTCCTGACGACGTGCTTGGCGCACTGCTTCGCACCAGCTCGCCACGGAAAACCCGCTCGGGGGGGGGGGGGGGCCATCTCGTCGAAGTCGTTGGCGCTCGGCCCAGTCGTCGTCCTTCAGCATCTGGTATCCAGCCTGCCACGCCAGAGTGCGCCCATGCGTTGATTGACATCAGGATGTGCACGCTGTGGGAGCTGCCCATGACCAAACGGCGCCACCTCGGGTAGACCCAACTCTCAGGCTCAAGAGAGTCTCGCTGGCTGGGCGCCAGGCGCCACCAGACGGCGGACGCCCGCACGGGCGGCACACGCGGCCACCCCCACATCCAGCTCGGGACCTCCACGAAAGAAAAGGCGTTGCTCTCGCCGAACGCCGCTGCAGCCCAGTCGCCCGAAGGGGCGCGTAGGCTGGCCAACGCGCCTCCTCCGTGTAGTCCGTGTTCAGCTCGCCCCCTCACGTCCTGGAACATAGTTAGCCGCCACCATCATGATGATCTTGCGCTGCCGCCCGCTGGTCTTCTTGCCCACCGCGCTGAAGCCCGCGATGGCCTTCACTTCCTGCGGGCCCCCGAAGTGCCACAGGTTGGGCGGCATGTCCGCGCGGCTGAAGTACTTCTCGCGCTCCTCCTGGGTTCATCCAACGAAGCCGAACTTGGCCTGCAGCTCCTCGAAGATCACGCGGCTGCGCAACTCCGACGGGGCAACCACAAGCCCCTCGTCGCTGTAGTACCTGGCCTCCTCCGGCTCGAGCGCCTCGAGCATGTCCGCACTCTGCACTACCTGCGGCTCATCAATGTCCTCCGCTCTCAGGGCCTCATGGGTCGACAGGCGGGTAGGCTTGCCATCGCCCACCTCCTCCACACGAGCTAGCCCCAGCACCGCGGGGGCGTCTGTGAAACCGCAGTCCCGGCGCGCCTCTGCCAGCCGTTTAGCTTCTCGTAGAGCTACCCTATGCACCTGGCCGCGCAGCCCCCGCATGTTCTCCGACAAGCTCTCCTTGCGGCGGGGGCGGGTGAGGTCCTTGCACGAGCCCGTGTCCATGGAATTGATCCCCTGCACGAACTCGTTGGCGAGAGCCCACAAGGTGAGCTCACGCTTGAATCGATGCCGAAGTCGACTTGATCGACTCGTCATCTGGGTCGGGCGATCCACCAGCGCGATGGGAAAGAACGCCTCCTGTCCCGGCTGTGCCGAGATCACCTGCTGCAGCGAGGGGTGTAGATCGTCGCGCACTCCAGGCACCCGCGCCGCTGTAGGGCTCCGTGCCCCGACGGCAGGCTCGTCGGGACGAGCCGCGAGCCCCTACTCATGCTTGGAGTCGGCGGACTTGCCGCCACGACCTCCACCTCGACCTCCTCCGCGACCGTCACTCCGACCGCCGCCCTTGTCGTTATTGCGTCTGTGGCGTGCCTCGGCCTCGACTCTCTCCCTGCGCTGGTGCTCGATCTTCGAGTGCATCGTCGCTGAGGCCACCATCCGCGCCGGGGCCACGTCGGCTGAGCCGCCAAGCGGCGCGATGCCCAACGCGTGCTGGGCCCCGGCGCGGTCGCCGCTCCGCTGCTCGTACACGTACGCCGCGAGGCGGCGGAGTCCGATCTCCATCATGTCGCCCTTGGCCAGCACCTGCATGATCTCCAGATCACTGCCGCAGTCGCGGAGACGGAAGTCAACCGACGTGGCTAGAGTCCACAGGTCGACCCACACTGGGCTGGTCCGGCTCCCCTGGTAGCGCTGCGCGATCCAGTCGCGTGCACTCGTCGACCCCTCGCCTCTCATCGCCCTGTAGATCTCGGGGGCCGCTCGCTGGAGGTCCGCGGGTAATGAAGAGCCCCACCGCGTCTCCTCCGAGCCTCCCGCGGCGGCGGCCAGGCCCTGGCTGGGGCTTGCCTGCCAGATGCCGGCGCCTGCGGTCAGCGCGGCCTCCGACGCGAGGCGGTCCAGCGCGGCCCCGAGCTCCTCGTGGCGGGGGGCCGTCACCGTCTGCTCGCCCACGTAGCCGAACCCCGACAAGAGACGCTCCACCTCGGGCAGCAGCTGCCCGCTCGAGTCCAACGTGTGGATGTTGGACCAGAAGCGATGTTGGACCTCTGGCGTTCGCGAACGCCGTCAGCAGCTCCTTCACCTGCTTGGCCTGCTGCCGAACCTTGTTGTCCAGCTCGGGCGGCCTGCGCTGCGGGGCGCCAGGCGGGCCCCCCGCGGCGGCGGCTGCGCCCGCCTCTGGGGCGGACGGGGCGGCCAAGCCCGCCCACGCCCCCAGCGCGTCCAGGCTCGCCGCACCCGCGGGTGCCTGGGCAGCCAGACCCACGGGGGGCCCGACGGGCCCTGTGGCTGGCCCCGCCATCGTCACGCCCGGCACCTGCGGGATCCCAGGCGGCGGCGCTCCAACGTCGGCCCATCCGTGCGTCGCACCGTCGGGCGGGCCGCCACCCGGGGATCCTCCGCCTGGCATGCCCATCGCTCCCGACAAGGTTAGCTGCTGCATCTGCGCCGTGAGGGAGGCCATCTGCGCCTTCGTGGCCCCCTGGTCGCAGAAGAGCCACCACGCCTGGCGCGCGACCCGCGCCGTGGCGAGGATGCCCACCAGCCCGCAGACGGTGAGGCCCGCGAGGCGGGCCCGCCCCGTCGAGCCCAGCTGGGCGGCCAGGGCTCCTCATCCGCCCGTCAGGGCAAAAAGTCCCCACGCCGCCGCGAGCCACCAGCTGCCCTGGCTCGCGTCGGCCGCTGGGCCCTCTGGGGCGGGCGGCGGCGGCTCGCCTGCAGGGGCGGCGTCCTGTCCGGGCGGCGCGGCCGCCGCAGCCGCGTCGCACCCCGGCGCCATGGCGGGCCCGTCTGGTGGAAACACAGCGGCACCCCTCTGGGTGCCGCGGGGGAGACCTGCAAGAGGGCGCCAGCGGAGGCACCTCGAAACTCGGATCAGCGAGACATGGCGCCTTGAACTTGAAACGGTTTCGGGCGCAGGCAAGACCTGGAGACAACGTCCGAAACTACAAGACATGTCCCACCCCTTGGCCCCTTCGCTAACATATCTGAAAATAAACGTTCACAAACTCACTCACCCATGCATATACATATGCATGCACATGCACATGCACGTATACAGTTCTTATATATATGTATGCATATACATATACATATGCACACATAATCACATACACAAATACATGTGCATGTGTACAAACATATGCATATGCATATACATCTATATATATATATATAATGTACACATATATATATATATATGGCCGTACAGGCCTAACGGGGGGCGTCGTTTTCCTGCTCTGCTTTTCTCGCGCACCTCGGGAGAAATAGTCCAGTCTCACGAATTCTGGAACCTCTACTTGCGATCTCTGCGCGATTCACATAGAGTCGCGCCCCTGCCCCCACAAGCAAAGTCCACAATCACCCCTGCGTCGCGGGATCACAGGCCGATGGGCTTCCCGCTCACTCCTCCCGCATGCCGAAAAGCTGACATGATGGAAGCCATGTCCCGCCCGACGTTCGTGTAGAACACATACTCCGCAACGCTCAGGAGGAGAACCTCGCCCTTGCGGGCGACGTCGGTGCTGTTCGAGGAACGCACGTAGCCGAATTTGCTGCGGAGGAAGAGCTTGAGGCGCGCGAACTCGCTCTCGACGTCGTTCGCGTGGACGCCAGTGACGGGATTGCGGAAGCCCTTGTTGTGGTTCACAGTGTCCTTCACCTTCAAGTTCGCCTTCTTCGCGGCCGCTTCCGCGGCCCGCCACTTGTCCGCCACGACGGCGCCCCCCTTCGCCACGCGCTCACGCAACACTGGCGTCAGCGACTTCGTCCCCCGAGGCTTGCCGTCGGGTGCGTCTGCAGCCGTCGGGAGCAGGCCCATGGAGATGCGCTTGTTCCCCAGCTTGTGCGACTTCTTCCCCGTCGACTTCGACCCGCACCCCACCGCCGCCCAAAGCCACCGAGACTTGCGCTTGTCGTCCTGGGTGCCCGCCTTCTGCTTGTAGTACCGAGTGCGCTTCTTCTGCCCTGTCTTCTTCGCGCTTGTCTTCATGCACGTCTTCGCCGTGGCCTTCTTCAAGTGCATCTTCTTGACAGTTTTCCACTGGGTCCTTCCTGGCTCCACTTTCTTCAGGAGGGGGTTCCGCTTGTGACTGCCAATGGTACGGGGCTTCGGCTTGAAACAGATGGGCTTGCTGATCTTGGAATCGTCGCGGCACATGGCGGTCTCGTCCACCGCGACCACCTCGGCGATGTCGCCGACCTTGGTGCCGTCTACTTCTTCAACATAGCGTTGCAAGGCAGACTGGTAGGTCTTCTTCCACGAATCAACTGCTTTTTGGTTCACGCCGTAGGCCCCCTCCATCTCCTCGTAGATGTTCTTCATGCGGTAATCCTTGGTCATCAGGAGGACGAAGTGCAGGAATGGAAAGTAGCTGTTCACCCGCAGGGATGAAAGGACGCCCGCCGCCCCCACGGCCTCGCTCCAGCATTTAATCCCTTTCCAGGAGTTGCACGTCCACGCGAACCTCCACGACTCGTCGCGACGCTCCCGGCAAAGGACCGCCTCGCCGCGGCACTCGGGGCACTTCTGGTAACACTGCAAGGCCGCGTGATCAGCGAAGACGAGGATGGCGCGAAGCGCCAGGCAGTCGTGATACTTCTTCTCGCCCTCGGCCTCCTTCTTAATCGGGAACTCGCTGTAGCGGACGTGGTGGAGGAACGAAGAGGCGCATGAGAAAGCGTTCCCCGAGATGTCATTGCGGAACTTCTTGAGATCCATGGCCGCGGCGGCGCGATCGGCCCCGAGCGCTCGGGGCGATCTCGCGCTCTGAGAACGCCGCGCTTCGGGCCAATGCGGCGGCGGACATCGGCAAATGGCAGTCGATCGCTGGAAGGACCCACGGGCGATCGCACCATGATGGGACATAACCTTTTTTTGCCAAGCGGGCCCGACAGCGCATATATGATTGCAAGCGCGCCCCCCAACGGTCTGGATACGCCCCAACAGCCGCATGCCTCCCCCAGCGAATTCGGCTACCAACCGCAGCTAAACTTATATGCTACGCCTGCCCCCCGCCCCCCACCCCCCCGCTGCTGCGGCCGCGCTCAGTCCGCGCCCGAGTCGATCGTCACGACGCCTGTTGGGGGCTCAGAAGTAAGGCGGCCGAATGAGGACGCGCAGAGGAACCCCCCGCTACGCGCTGCCAGAAGGGGCAGCCGTGCTCGCGGCCAAACGGCGCGCAACGCAAGCACCCGCTGGTCAACAAACGGGCGATTCCTGTGACGCCCCGCGAGCGCCGCCCGACTTCTGCGCCCCCCGAGCCCGGGGAGAGCCCCTGGATCGTCTCCTTGCCCACGGGCTTCGCCTCGAACACCTCCCGCTTGACAGCCCCATCGGTCGAGCCCGCCGCCCTGCAGGGGCCCTCGGGATCCTGCTTGATCGACGCGCGAGGCGCCCGCTGCCGCTTGACGCTGATCTCCTCCTTCTTGGTGGGCGCAAGCTTCTTCACGGCGTCGAACCCAGCATTGATCGCGCTCTTCTTCAAGGCGTTGAACTCCCTGAGCGAGATCGCGCCTGCCTGGTGAAGCACCCAGAGCCGCTCGATCTCCTGCGCGGGGGTCCCGCGCGGCGGATCTTCCTCGTCCTCGTAATCGTCGCGGTCGCCCCCGTTGCGGTCGCACTTGAAGCCGTCCGCGAAGGGGTCGGGGGACACCGCGCGGGGCCCCTGGGCGCAATGCTTCGCCCGCTTAGCTGGGGGGGCCCTCCTCTGGCGCGGCTCGGGCTGGCATCGGGGCCGAGGGCGCGCCACCCGCTGGCGCTGCTGGCGCTGGTATCGGGGCCGCGGGCACGCCGCCCCCTGGCGACATCGGGGCCGCGGGCGCGCCGCCCCCTGGCGCGGCTGCTGCGCTGACCCAGATGTCCCCCAAGCCCAGCTGGCCGAACGGCTGCGGCTCGGCGGCCGCGGAAACGCCCTCCGCGCCCGAGTCGCCGGCCCCCTGCGGGACTTCGTCGTCCTCCAGGAGCTCTGCCAGCCAGTTCTGCTCCCACATCACGTCCTGCTCGTAATCGGTCCCGAACTGGCGGTTGCCCTCTTTCCACAAGCCAATGCGGCGCCTGCCGTCCACGGCGATGAAGTTCGACTCGTCCAACACAAAGCACGGAACGGGCTCAGTGCCCTCGGAGGCGAGGCGGTGGATCACGTAGACCTTGCCGTCGGTGTGCGTGAAGTTGAGGGTCACGTGCGAGCGCTTCAGACACGCCATGGGGTTGGCTAGAGTCGTCCCTGGGGGGAAGGTTGCCGACACGGCGTCCAGGAAGTCCTTGTGAGAGATCGTCGGGAAGCTGCCGCTGGTGGGGCGGAGCGTGGCTGGGTTGAACGCGTTGTCCACGATCAAGCGAGGCTGTCCCTGCACGCATTTTGTGGCCCCCCAGCGGGCCCAGATCATTGACTCATCATCCCCGACGTCCGCGAATGACTTGATCGCCCGAACGCGCTGCTCGTTCAGCGCCCCGTCGTCGTACACCCAGGCGCAGCTCTTCCCCCCTGGCTGGCCGCGCAAGAAGTCGAACTCCGTCGTGCTGTTCAGCATGGCCACGCGCTCGCCGCCGATCTTGCGCGCCCACCGCCTGGCGAGGGCCAGGGCGACTGCGCGACCCACGAAAGTCTTGCCGATACCAGGCTCGCCAATCATCATGAGAGCATGCTTGCCCATCGTCTTGACCATGGGCTTGAGGGCGCCGACCAGGAAGGAGCGCTTGACGTTGCGCAGCGTGACGGGGCACACAAGGTGCTCTTGGCACAGCGCCGCCTCGTTTGCGATGCCCCTCATGATCTCTTTCACAAGCGACTCCTTCCATCCGGAAATGATGTTGTTCTCGTTGTTCAGCTCTTCGGTGATCCACCGAAGGTGACCCCTATTCTGGATCAGACGGGCATGCTCCCCGATGTAGTCGAACCCCTGGTCGACTTTCGACTCATCCATGAGCTCTTTTTGCTTGTTGAGGTCGCGGTGGTCGAACGTGAAATACATGGTCTTCAAGCCAGGGAGGTGCACGAGCAGGTGTTGCAGCGCCTTCGCCCCTGACTTCTCGTGGATGCCCCGCGCGACCTCATGCGCCTGACCAACGCGCATGCTCGGGAGGCTGTGAACGTTGATCTTGTTCTTCATGATGTAGTGCTTGATGATGTACTTCCCGCCGTCGCCCCTCGGCACCACGAACAGCTGCATGGTGTAATCGCTCGGGGGCTCCTCCTTCAAGCGGAAAGGCATGGGCAGGTCCTTGAACGTCTTGCGACGGAAGTGCTCCAATATAGCGTCTCTGTCGATGTCCCCGCGGTGGTCGGACACGATGTCCACGAAGTGCGCGACCTTCTCCATTGGGCCGCCCGCCTCGGTGTCAACAGGTGTAAACGGGAGGTCCTCGGCAGGGTTCGCGGCGCCCGTCTCGTCATCTGAATGGATGGGAAAAGTCAGCCTGTGCACGGTGGGGTTCTTGACGACCGTTGCCGCCGCGATCATCGCACCGACGCGCGGCGCCGCAGGGGGGGAAGGCGGGCGCGCGCGGGGGCGCAGCGAGCCAGGCGGTGCCAGGGCGGCTCGTCCCTTGAGCCACAACTCAGGCAAACCGCAGAAGGTGAGAACGTTGCGTTGTTACCACAAGTATGGTTAATACATGTTGTCGCGGGGTCTCCTCTGGGACTCTGGCTATCGAGATGATGCGGTGTGATTGTTCCCCATGCACATGTCTGGCTGGGTTGGTTTTGGGTTCATTTATGGGTGTCCTCCAGAACCCCCTCGTGGGCCTCTTGTGTGTCCTCCCCTAAGTCACCCCCAATGGGCCCTTCCTGGGGGTGTTCGTGGGGTGCTGTGCGTTTCTCCTACTACCTCCACTATCGCGTAATGCTGAGAACCAAGCCTGCTACAGACAACTGCATGATGCATTTTTCGTCCTCTCGGGTTCCGAAAGCTGTTCCCGCTGCTTCTAGTCAGAGTCAGAGGAGGAGGAGGAGGAGGAGGAGGAAGAGCTCCTACCCATGACCACCGACTCAGACGAAGACGAACCCGCAGAAGCGGAAGAAGACGAGGAGGGCTTCTTCATGATCTTGCCCTGCCCCTTCGCATTGGCCTTCGCCTTGGCCCTGAGTCTGCTCCTCCGCTGGCTCTCCTTGTTCCTCCTCAGCTTCTCATCCTTGGGCATCGGCGCCCGCGTCGAGATTTGGGGGGCGGCGCCTGCTTGCCGCGCAGGCGCCGCCCCGCCCCTGGACTCTTCCAGCCGCTGTTGCTCATCCTCTGCTCGACGGTGCGGTTGCTCATCTTGCTCTCCTCCATCGGAGGCATGCGGGGCATCTTCTGCTCTACGGTACGGCTGCTCAACCTCGAAGCTTGAGCCGGGAAACAGCTACGGACAGGATGATGATGATGCTGATGATGACGAGTATTGTTATCAAGGCGCTGTCGGCGGCGATGGTGGTAACAACCATGTGTTTCAAGACATTGCCGATGACGATGCTGATGACATGTATTCGCTTCAAGATGGTGTCGATGACAGTGTTGATGACATGCATCAGTCTCAAGATGCTGTCGATGACGATGCTGGTGACGAGCATGGCTTTCAAGAGAGTGCCGATGACGATGATGATGACAACTATGATTTCCAAGATGTTGTCGATGACGATGTTGATGACGTGCATCAGTCTCAAGATGCTGTCGATGACGATGATGATGACGAGCATGGCTTTCAAGAGAGTGCCGATGACGATGATGATGACAACTATGATTTTCAAGATACTGTCGATGACGATGCTGATGACGTGCATCAGTCTCAAGATGCGGTCGATGACGATGATGATGACGAGCATGGTTTTCAAGAGAGTGCCGATGACGATAATGATGACAACTATGATTTCCAAGATGCTGCCGATGACGATGCTGATGACGTGCATCAGTCTCAAGATGCTGTCGATGACGATGCTGATGACGAGCATGGCTTTCAAGAGAGTGCCGATGACGATGATGATGACAACTATGATTTTCCAGATGCTGTCGATGACGATGCTGATGACGTGCATCAGCCTCAAGATGCTGTCGATGACCATGCTGATGACGAGCATGGCTTTCAAGCGAGTGCCGATGACGATGATGATGACAATTATGTTTTTCAAGATGCTGTCGATGACGATGGTCAAAATTGAGTGGGAAACCTCTTGAGGAGCTGCTGCGCCTCGCCGAGAACGTTCCGGAGGCCCGACCTAAGACCCGAAAGTGATGCGATGGTGGACGACAAGGCGGAGGAGGAGGAGGGGGGGGCGATGAGGACCAAGGAAAAAGAGTAATCTGAGGAGAGGAATTCGGAGAACGAGGAGGAGGAGGAGGAGGAGGAGGAGGAGGAGGAGGAGGAGGAGGAGCTGGAGGGGGAAGAGGAGGAGGAGGAGGAGGAGGAGGAGGAGGGCGAGGAGCAGGGAGATGAGGAGGCGCACGAGGTGTCGCCGACGCCCACGGGACCGCCTCCTCGCTCAGGAGCTGGGCCCTCGGCCTCGGGGAAAGGTCCCGAAACTTGAAAACCTCATAAGCGCGAGGTGCCGTTATGCCCCCCAACCCGCCTCCCCCCACCCCACTCCATACACGGCTCCCTCATGGCTCCCTCACGGCTCCCTCATGGCTCCCCCCATGGCTCCTTCATGGCTCCCTCAGGCTCCCGCCTGAGAGGTCCTCCAAAACGCACTCAAAACGAGGCTCCCGCCTGAGAGGTCCCCACAAACACACCCAAAAGGAAGCTCCCGCCTGAGAGGTCCCAAAAAAACACACTCAAAACGAGGCTCCCGCCTGAGAGGTCCCAAAAAAACCCAAAGAAATCCAAGAGCCACCCCTCTCATCCCTGTAACTGTCCCAAAAAACAAAAAAAAAGTTTCAGAGGAGAACTCCACCGAGGGGGGGCAGGTAAGACGAGGAGGAAGTGGGGGGGGGAGGAGGTCTCCTCTGAAACTTTGGTTTTTTTGGTTTTTTTAGGACAGTTACAGGGATGAGAGGGGTGGCTCTTGGATTTCTTTTGGTTTTTGTTGGGACCTCTCAGGCGGGAGCCTCGTTTTGAGCGTTTTTTTTGGGACCTCTCAGGCGGGAGCTTCCTTTTGGGTGTGTTTGTGGGGACCTCTCAGGCGGGAGCCTCGTTTTGAACGCCTGGCAAGGTTTTGCTTGAGTCTGTCCCGTAAGGGGATCCTGATTGGATGGAGGAGGAGGAGGAGGAGGAGGAGGAGGAGGAGGAGGTGTTCTGCTCCTCTGCTTCTGCGCTCTGGAGTTGGCCTCTCAGGCGGGAGCAACATAACACAACACAACAGCAAACCACAACACAACATCATACAAAAGAAGAGTACGCATACAATCACAACATAACATTATACAACTCGCACTTTCGGCACGCCCCCCGTTAGGCCTGTATACCCATATATATATATATATATATATATATATATACTAGAACCACGCGCGCGCTTCGCGCGCGCTTAGGTTCTGTCGAGTCACAGACCCAGGAATCGTTGTGAGAAGAAATTGGTGACGCGAAGCGTCGTGGGGGCGTCCTTGGACGTCTGGGGTCTCCTGGGGCCTCTTGAGGGGCCTCCTGGGGGCCTCCTGGCGGCCTCTTGGGGCGGAAGGCTCGAGCTTGCGGTTCGTGGTCCCCCTCTGGGCCCCCTCTTGGGCCCGTCTTGGGGCCCTCTTGGGCCATCTTGGGCGCGGAAACCCCAAAAGACAACTTTGTTGAACATGTACGTTTTACAAAGGGAATGGGCCAACTTTTGCGTCTGGGGGCCCTCTTGGGACGCATGTTGGAGGCTTCTTGGGGCGTCTTGGGGGCGTCCTTGGACGTCTGGGGTCTCCTGGGGCCTCTTGAGGGGCCTCCTGGGGGCCTCCTGGCGGCCTCTTGGGGCGGAAGGCTCGAGCTTGCGGTTCGTGGTCCCCCTCTGGGCCCCCTCTTGGGCCCGTCTTGGGGCCCTCTTGGGCCATCTTAGGCGCCTCTTGGGCCGTCTTGGGGCCCTATTGGGCTGTCCTGGGGCCCTCTTGGAAGCTTCTTGGGCCGTTTTGGGGCGGTCTTGGGCGCCTCTTGGGCCGTCCTGTAACGTCGGAAAGCCCAAAAGACAACTTTGTTGAACATGTACGTTTTACGAAGGGAATGGGCCAACTTTTGCGTCTAGGGGCCCTCTTGGGCCGCATGTTGGAGGCTTCTTGGGGCCTCTTGGGGGCGTCCTTGGACGTCTGGGGTCTCCTGGGGCCTCTTGAGGGGCCTCCTGGGGGCCTCCTGGCGGCCTCTTGGGGCGGAAGGCTCGAGCTTGCGGTTCGTGGTCCCCCTCTGGGCCCCCTCTTGGGCCCGTCTTGGGGCCCTCTTGGGCCATCTTGGGCGCCTCTTGGGCCGTCTTGGGGCCCTCTTGGGCTGTCCTGGGGCCCTCTTGGAAGCTTCTTGGGCCGTCTTGGGGCGGTCTTGGGCGCCTCTTGGGCCGTCCTGTAACGTCGGAAAGCCCAAAAGGCGACTTTGTTGAAAATGTACGTTTTACGAAGGGAATGGGCAATTTTGCGTCTAGGGGCCCTCTTGGGACGCATGTTGGAGGCTTCTTGGGGCCTCTTGGGGGCGTCCTTGGACGTCTGGGGTCTCCTGGGGCCTCTTGAGGGGCCTCCTGGGGGCCTCCTGGCGGCCTCTTGGGGCGGAAGGCTCGAGCTTGCGGTTCGTGGTCCCCCTCTGGGCCCCCTCTTGGGCCCGTCTTGGGGCCCTCTTGGGCCATCTTGGGCGCCTCTTGGGCCGTCTTGGGGCCCTCTTGGGCTGTCCTGGGGCCCTCTTGGAAGCTTCTTGGGCCGTCTTGGGGCGGTCTTGGGCGCCTCTTGGGCCGTCCTGTAACGTCGGAAAGCCCAAAAAGCAACTTTGTTGAAAAATGTACGTTTTACGAAGGGAATGGGCCAATTTTTGCGTCTAGGGGCCCTCTTGGGACGCATGTTGGAGGCTTCTTGGGGCCTCTTGGGGGCGTCCTTGGACGTCTGGAGGCCATCTTCAGCATCTCGGAGCCCTCTTGGAGGCCTCTTGGAAGTTTCTTGGGCCGTCTTGGGCGCTCCTGGGGCCGTCTTGTCTGACCGGGGAGGCCTCCGGCAAGCCCCGACGAGCCTCCGGGCCCCCCGGGGTGCACATTTGTGGTCGGGGTCCCGGCCCCGGGCCCCCGGACCCGGTGCGCCGTTATATGTATATGTGATTATACGTATGCGTACGTATAAACATGAAAAGACCGCACCGAACCGAAAACCGAGAACCGTGACCGAACCGGACCGGACCGGACCGGTCCAAAATCAGGAACGTAGAAAACCGAACCGGACCGAACCGAATTCATTCAGAACCGAACCAGCGAGAACCGAACCGAACCGGAACCGGAACCGAACCGGAACCGGGCGGCCCCTGAACCGAACCGACGGGAACCGCACCGAACCCCTTTCCCCTCCGGTCCGGATCCCAGGACCCCGATGGGACTCCGGGACCCCGATGACCCCAA